GGTCCAACCTCCCTGCTCAGGCAGGGTCACCCAGAGCACATTACTTAGGATTGTGTTTGGACAGCTTTTGAAAATCCCCAGAGATGGAGGCTTCACAACCTCTCTGGGCAATCTGTTCCAGTGCACAGTCACCCACACAGTAATGAAGTTCTTCCTTATATTCAGGGGGAACTTTCTATGCATCAGTTTCTGCCCACTGCCTCTCATCCTATTGTTTGGCACCACCAAGAAGAACTTGGCTCCATCCTCTTGACAACCTCCCTTTGGATACTTGAAGACTTTGATAAAATCATCAATCAGAGGATTTGGAAAATCAGGGAAAACGTTGGTTAGATCAGTTTTCTTACTAGTGACAAAGTAACTTTTGCCCAATGTGATTAATCTCTGACACTCATATTTAAAAGAAGTCCTTTTGCAGCCCACTTGGGCCTGACAATTAACGTTACTTGACTAGCAATGACAATTCAAACTTTAAAGGACTGTAGGCTCAGATGTGAGAGCTGAACGATGCTTTCTTAGTTGCAGAAATGTTACTGGAGGAGGAAAAATACCTAGTTGGTAGCCACTGGAACTCAGTCTTCCATTGCCTTAGGAACAGGCAATTGTGCTCAGAAATTATCATGCACCATTTCCAAAATTAGCCTGTAACATATTTAAAACCGTTACCAGGTATCAACATCCTAAATGCCCGTCTATGAGTGTGTGTTACTTAATCACAAACTAAAAACTGATACTTCCTGAGAGCAGATTTAATGACAGCATCTTCATAAAGACACTTAAACTAGCTAATGGCAGTAGCTTTGCTGTGGCAGTGTCAACTAACAGAACCATCTAGAAGGCACACAAATACAAGTTAATTGTTGTTACCTGGACACAGAGTGTGGCATATTATACATTATGCAAAAACATTGCAAAAATGCACATTTTAGCTGAAAGGAAAGCTTAAAAAATATTCTGCAAAGCAGATACTGTTTTTGTTTTCTCTGCACTTTACAACTTAAAAATATGGGGGACTTACCTGCCCAGTGAAAGAGAGACAGCATCAAAACTCTTTCAGTGTATGCTTTTTCCCCTCAGCCTCTGGACCACTAGACTATGTCATGTCAGCTTTGTGTCATCGGTAGGGAAGAGAAGTTTAATGTATTCTCTTCTGCTCCATGTATAATGTTTGATGTATCCTCTCCTGCTAACAAGTCTGACAACCAACATTTACCATATACTACAAATGCAAGCATTTTGTTCACACACACACAGAGAACTGGCCCAAATCTTTAAGGTGCTATAGTGCACCTTAATAAAACAAGCACATGTCAAGTCACTGCACAAGCTTCAGCTTGTCTACACAAGCTTGACTGTAGTCTTCAGCCTGTACAGCAGGTGCTACCAGCACTACAGACAGATGACAACTCATGAAATGTTAGGTTTATAGAGCCTTAGATATATCTTTTTTAACAGATGAAACTAGGGCACTGGGGATATCATTACGACTTCTCAACCCAAAAAACAAAACTTCATAGAGTTGTGCCCTAGTTTAGTTGTTTCTTTGGGCATGGGTTCTTTGACAGCTTTTTAACTGGAAATCTCTCTTTTCCCGTGCACATATAGCTGATCACATGAAGAACAATGGGAGAAAAGAAAGATACTCAGGTAGCTCAAGTGGCCAAGACAGCAATCAAAGTAACAGCTCAAGCCAGGTGGTTTCTCAGCCCCTTGTGCACCCTTTGCTGGCTCTTGTGTGAGGCAGTCAGAGCTGCCATCACTGTTTCTGCAGAGGTACTCCCTGGTCTGCATGCTGGTCTCCTCTGCCTCGCGCGGGCTCTGACATGGCTGGAAAGAGGTCACTGTGAGGTTATTGCTGGAAGAGGAACAACAGGTGTAGAAAACCAGCAGGGTTTGCAAACTGTACTGTGCCTATGTGTAGGCCACATGCCTGAGGCTCAACCAAAAAGAAAGACACTGCTAGTTTAGCAGACCTGGGCTCACCACAGGAGCTCCATAAATACCAAGACAGTGTGGACCAGAGGGAAGCGTTGGCTCTGGGCTGCTTGGGAGTGTTTTACATAAGGCAGTAAAGCTAATTTGGGTAAGGTAATAAATCATCTATTTGGGTTATGAGGTGCCCAAACGTGATGTCATTTTGGGGATCTCTACCAGTGCTCTTCTATCATGTTTCATACCCAGACATGACTGTGGGGCAGTAGAGGTTGAGCGTGGTGGTGTGCTATTTGTTTGGCATACTAGAGGCAAGAACAGCATTGTCTATGAAATTAATTTAGTTTATCAGCAGGGCAGCAGCATCTTGTGTAGTACCTGGGAGTGTAAGCATGTGAACCTGCTTAGTGTAGGCAGGTATCACTGGTGGCATGCACTGGCCTTCTCTGAGGAGGTCTGGGTGAGCAGGGGAACTGCACAGCACAGGGCAAGTGGCTGCTGCGCTGGAGCAGCATAGTTTGTAGTCAGTGTTGTGCCAATGTTTGTGCCGTCGCTTGGATACCCGCTGGGCCCTCCTGTGTTTGGTGGTTAACTTTTGTGTGGTGCAAGTGCCTGTGGCAGGGTACTTCCATGTGGGTTCTTGCTACATCCTGGAGCAGGGAAGGATGGAAAGCCTTTTCAGGCAGGGGTAGAGTGCTCCAACCGGTGAGTGCCTCTCAGCCTGAGTGTGCTTAGGTTGGACATCAGGAGGAATTTCTTCACAGAAAGGGTTGTCGAGCATTGGAATGGGCTGCCCAGGGAGATGGTGGAGTCACTGTCTCTGGAGGCGTTTGAGGAAAGACTGGATGTGGTACTTAGTGCCATAGTCTGTTTGACATGGTGGTGTCTAGTCAAAGGTTGGGCTCGAGGATCTCAGAGCCCAATTGACTCTGTGACTGCACTCCAGGAGGCACCTGAAGCCTAGCAGATCTGAGCAGTGGGGGGCTGCGGGACCGCCTCTCCCTGCACAGGGCTGTGCTGCGCCAGAAAGGTACCACAAAGCCGTGGGAGCTGTCCCGGCAAAAGGGGATGGCCTGAGAGTGAGCCCCGTTCTGTTAGCGCGTCCCCGCGCTACCTGCGTGTCTGTGGCCGTGACGAGAGCCCGCCCCGCGCGCACCCGCTCGGCCCGGGGGCGTCTCGGCGGGGGTTCCGTGGGGCGGGGCGGGCGGGGGCGCGGCCGCGCCCGGCACTCTCTGCCGGCGGTCCGGGGACTTTCCCCTAGGCGGGCGCGGGGCCCGTGAGGAACTGGCGTCCTCCGTGCTTGGCCTAGCGAGCAGGTCTTCAGAACATCCCGGCAGCCCTTTGTCTCCGAACACCGAGTTTTAAAGGTCAGCAGCTGGCTAAACATACAAGACAGGGCGAGGAGTGTGTAACGCTCTCTTTATCTGCGCGCTACTCTCCGCAGGCCGTGCACGGCAGATAGACCTCTCAGCCGCCCCTGGAGGGGCAGCACGACCCGGGGCTGCCCCCGAAACGTCCCCCCGGGAGGGCCGGAGCGGCGCCGGGAACGCGTTATGCAAATAGCGCGCCGAGCCCCCGCCCTGCGGCCGCCGCTGGCACCGCCCCGCGCCGCTCCAGCGCCCCCCGGGCGGGATCTGGGAGCTGCGGGAGACAGCCCCCGAACCGCGGCGTGCCCCGGAGCCTGCCAGCAGCCACCAGCGGGGCGGGGGCCGCAGGGAGCCAGCGGTAGTGCTTGGATGTTCTACCACACTCCAGAAGAGACGGGAGTCACTCCTGATGCCTGCGATTTCCTGTACTTCTGCAGGCAAAACAGGCTCAGTTTTATTTTCAGTTGGTTTCCTTTGTCCCCCTGAGGCGACTATGCACACCTACAGCGTTAGTGCAGTTGATTCCGCCGGTCCTTGTCAGCAGGGTATGACAGCTAAAGACCAGCATTCCCATCCCTACAGACCAGGACAGTTCCTGGAAGGCAGACCAAAAGGTTTTAGAACTGACAGGACTGCACGAACACCGCTTGCCACAGCCAGTTCTTTGGAATTCTTTCTTCCTTTGGGTGTAATGAAATGTTAATAAATTCTCATTCAAATACTCGAATAATGCTTATTCATTTGTATGTTAGAACATGCATTTTGAGATGCTTTCCATGCAAAATGTGAAATAAAAGTAACACACTTCAACCTTCAGTTTCTATTAAGAGTAGCTACAGACTCGTTCTTTAATGATTCACAACCAAACATCAAAGAGGAATAACATTCAAAATCTTTAAAAAAGCCTAAGTCAAGTCTGTAAAAAAAAAGGCATCTAGCACCTCAGCCTTTTAACACAGTTGTCCTAACAGCCCCTTGAGGTCAGTGGATACTGAGCTTTTCTTTCCAGACAAGAAACACGGGTTTTCACACTGCAACACGCACTGCAATTCTGAACCAGAGATCTGGAGGTGCTCAAACCAACAGCAGGAAAAGCTGTAGTCCAGAGGGCATGGGATGCAACTCCTGTCCCCGCAAACCCCGTTGTTCTGTATCTCTATCTGAACAGGGTGGGGACTTGCAAATAGATCTCATGCTTCCCATCATGAATACCACAGCTCCTAAGCCCAGCACGAAGCTTGCCCTGCGCTTTAACCATGCACCAGCTGTCATGCGAAGATGCAATTTAGCGTGTTACGTTCTGAACATCAGGTTGTGCTCCAGAAATGCCGAGGGGAAACTCCTGAGAAACCTAACCAGGGCAAAGGGTGATCAAGGGCACAGAAGCACAGGGGTCAGGTGGAGGAAGTTCTCAACCAGCCATTGGGAAGCATGAGAGCCTTGCAGGCTTATGGTGCCATGGACTGGACAGCCACTGATGTTTAAAATCACGTAGGGTATAGCGTAACAACACGGCTGTAGTTCAGTCCCAAAAATCACAAAAGAACTTGAAGTGGACGTATGTATTGCTGGGATCCCAGAACTTCCTACTCCCTCCTGTAGTACTTGATCAATGGATCTGTCAGTGAAGCATAAGGTCGCCACTAAATGATGCTAACTACTGTAATCAGACAAGATAAATTCAAAATAGCACTGAAGACATTATGTTTTTACAATTACATTTCATTATCCAATATACCAAAACATGCAGTTTGTGTAGGTATTTCAGTAACATTGAAAATAAAAGGTAATCTACTTTCTTTGCTTCAAATCATTCTGTACAGGGTGTAAAAATGTAGCAAAGGAAGGGCTCAATTAGCACGAATGCTTTACAATACGCTCACTGTCTCCAGCAGACAGCAGCATCTTCATTTTGCTTATCTTGGCGTTACAAAAGTAGAAATTGATATTCTATAGGTCCACTCTATCAGTTTTACAGTATTTCAGCTACATGTCTAAAGAAACCAACTCATCCTTGTGGGGTTACACCCTGAAGCTGAAGTAAAGCTTTTCTGAAGGTGTTGCAAAGTTATTGAAACGGCTGGAATATTTAGCAGTCAAACCCAAAGTACTATAAAAGCTCATCCCAGAGGTTTTATTGTTTGAGTAGCAGTCAAAATATACTTAGTATAGAAATCCATGTTTATTTGAAAAAAAAAAAAAAACACAGAACTGTGATCGATACTTCACATTATAAATTAAATCTGCTTAGTTTTGGTGGCTGAAATAGCTGTGACTTGACTAATTGCTAAGTCATCAGTGGGACACTGTGGCTCTAACCTGCTAGTATAATGTTAAATGGGATCAGGGTGTCACTTATATTGCAAGTGTTATGAAAACATCCCATAAAAATAGTCAACCAACTACTTTCTCTCCTAGTATGATCAACAGTGAACATTATGAGCAACAAGCCTGAAACAGACGATTCAACTTTTTGATTGAAACTTTTAAACAACCTTCAATCATTCAAGTATTATGGTCCCTATGTACACACTTCTACGTGGCTAGAAAAGACATGGTAGACAATTGAGCACACTGCCATCAAATTGTAAGAATTACAAAAACATCAGGTTTTAAACAGCAAATTGTACCTTAATAGTTTAATTAAAAATAGAAGAGTTAGGTAGACTATTTTGCAAATACAACAGCACACTAGTGTGCTGTATATTAAGGCAATACCTTTAAATGCACACTTGTCATCTCTAACAAGTTTTATACAATTGCTACTGAGTGAAAGAACTATCATTGTCTTGCAAAACTGAGAAAGAAATACAAAATATCTGGAAGCCTACATTTTCAAAGTACAAAATTAACCTTCAGTCCTTGTGTTGAAATACTATACACAGTAGAAACAGTGATTCTCCCCTACAAGATCTCACGAGGATTTCTTAAAGCTGGAGGCAAATTTGAAGGCTTTGACTCCTCATCCAGAAGCACCAAATCTTCAATTTCACTACCTTTGTATTTTCTTTTACATATCTTCACAATAACTTTCTTCTTGAGGAATAATTTCAAAGCTTCTCTTGAAGCCACTGCTTTGGCATTTTCCATACTTTTACCACAGCCAGTACCCAAGTAGACAGACTTGCACCTCAGTTCACAAACTATATTTTCTAGAGAGCTTTTATTTTGAGGCAGGTCTGCAAGTTCCTTCAGGGGAACAAAAGCAACATCTAATGTAGCTTTTACGGACTGAATAGATGAGTTTAGAAGTTCTGCATGATTTACATTGGGACTGAAGCCTCCAACAGCAACCAGTTTCCAGGCTACAGCTTTGTAGAGTCTGTTAAAAAAAGGCTGTCTTTCCTTTGCATCTTCACTGGTTAAGGGTTTGCACAAAGCCTTAGCAGGGCTTTCACCTGCCTGTGAGCCACTCTTGGAAGCCAGCAGGGAAGCACCTGCCTGAGCTCCACCCCGGGAGGAGGGACCTTGCTGAGCTCCGCTCCGGGCAGCCAGCAGCGAGGCAGCCACCTGAGCGCTGCTCTTGGAAGCGAGCAGTGAGGATCCCGGCTGCGCGCCGCTCCGAGCGGCCAGCAACGAGGCAGCCACCTCGGCACTGCTCTTGGAGGCCAGAAGCGAGGAGCCCACCTTAGCAGGGCCCTTGGGGGCCAGCAGCAGCGAGGTGCCCACCTGAGTGCTGCTCTTGGGGGCCAGAAGCAGCGAGCTGCCCACCTGACCAGCACTCTTGGACACTGGTGCTGGGGTACTCGCTTGGTTTTTGGAAGACAGCAGGGCAGTATTTGTCTGGGGGGTGCTCTTGGTGGTTGGTGGCACTGCTGCCACCTGTGGGGTGCTCTTGGTGGTCAGTGGCATGGCCGCTGCCACCGCCGCTGCCTGTGGGGTGCTCTTGGAAGCTGGTGGCACTGTTGCTGCCACCACTGCTGCCTGTGGGGTACTCTTAGAAGTTGGTGGCACTGCTGCTGCCACCACTGCTACCTGTGGGGTGCTCTTGGTGGTTGGTGGCACTGCTGCTGCCACCGCTGCAGCCTGTGGGGTGCCCTTGGCAGTCAGTGGTACTGCTGCTGCCTGTGGGGTGCTCTTGGAGGTTGATGGCACTGCCACTGCCACCACTGCTGCCTGTGCGGTGCTCCTGGCAGCCGGTGGCACTGCTGCCACCACCGCCTCTGGCTGCAGGGTGCTTTGGGCAGCCAATGGCGCTACACTTACTGTAGTTTTCTTTTCAGGCGATGGCACATTTTCACACTTGCTTTCTTCAGACGGGCTTGAGCAAGGCTTCTTTCCTGGCTCTTTTTCAGATGAAGATGGCTTTTGCTCAGCAGTATTTTCAGCACTAGCAGGTTTCCCTTCTGTTTCTATGTCTGATGCTACGACCATTTCTTGATCTGAGCTGCAAGTTGACTGGGAACTTTCTGGACCTTTGCTAGTACCTTTTTCCTGCTTTTTTGGCAATGTGCTCTCTGTTTCCTTCAGGGCTTCTGCCTTGATTATTTTCACATCCTTTCCAGCATCCTTAGAGTCTTTGCTTTTCTCAACAGCTTGCCTCTTCGAGGGATGCTCTAGCCCTTCTGCAAAACAAGTAAAATATGTTATCCTCTCTGATTTCTGAACTATAAAATATCCATGTAGAGAGAAATCATCTGAAACATTCTAGCAATAATCTCTGTGAATTTAAAAGGTATATATTAGGAATACACCTTGAAGTTTGATTTCAAATATTAACACACTATTTCAGAATATTTTAGTACTTTTTTGACAAAAACCTGAAAACACTCAGGTGTAAGATTTCAGATGTTGGTTTGTGACCCACAGGCAACTATATATTTCTATTCCTGAAATCCAAACCAAATGCAACTAACATACATTAGATGAACTATCTAACTTAAAAAAGTGTGTTTTGTCTACTAATATCATAAAAGTTTCTTTAAGAAACTCAGTTTCTCACACAGCAACAATGTCTGACTGGCAGCAAAGGCAAAGCAACAAGAAGGCATTTAAGCTGGAGTAAAGCGGTCCATTGCAATGCACAAGTAATCAGCTTAAAAGTACATCAGTTGTAGAAATTCAAAACGACAGCTCTACATTACCAAAGGATTATGTGTACATTACATCCATTTTAGAAATACTGTATTAGGAAAAAAACAGCACAGAGAGGAAACGAAAAACAGTAGTTTTTTAAAGTAAATTATTTTGACTACTTTCTAAGCCCGAGGCAAACCGAGAACATTTAGAAACAAGCATTTTCTAGACTCCTATGTATTGTCACAGCTATGATCTGCTAACCATTGCTACTTGATATGCCTCTTTTCTTCACCTTGGCAACCAGTTCGTCTCTCGTGGTGCGGACAGGCGCGCCGGTCACTTGGATGCCTTCGGCCATTTCCAGCGCCTTCTCCATGACCTGCGGCGGGTACCTGGAGGGGCGACAAGGGGAAAGGAGGGAAGGGGCGTCACCAGCCGTCCGCGCCGCGCCGTCCGCGCCGCCCCGGCGGCTCCCGCTGAACTCACCGGCATCCCAGGAAGACGTGGTTGGCCCACACCATGGAGAGGGACACCAGGCGCTGCAGCTGAGCGCTGCCCGCCGCCGGCGGCTCCCCCACGTTGCGCAGCAGGAACTCCCGGCGGTACCGCCAGTGGTGCTCGGGCTCGCAGGCCCCGCGCAGCGTCTCCGCCCAGGCCGCCTCCTCCGCCGTCCGCCCCAGAGGCTCGGCCGCCGCCGCCGCCTTCCCCGCCATCGCCGCCGCCGCCGCGGAAACACCCGCTCCGCTCCTTCCGGAGGGCGCGGCCTGAGCTCACATCCGCCAGGGCCGGCCGGCGGGGCGGGCGCCGCGGCCTGCGCGCCTCAGCCCCTGTGGGGGGCAGAGCCGCCCGTGTCCCGGCGCCTCCGCGGGGGCCGGCGGAAGGGACCGTGTCTGGGCACGGCTCCGTGCCCTGTGTTCTGCCTGGGGAAAGCGTGACTAAAATTTATGCTTTACGGCTTGATTTTTCTAGGCTTGCTGAGGTCGGAGTTCACGGGGGTCAGCTGGTGTTTTTACCTCAGAATAACAGTAAGATCCTCTGAGATCATCGAGTCCAACCTATGACCGAACAGCACCTTGTCACCTAGACCGTGGCACTAAGTGCCTCGTCCAGTTTTTAAACACCTCCAGGGACAGTGACTCCACCACCCCGGCAGCCCTTTCTGTAAAGAAACTCCTCCCAGTGTCCAGCCTGACCTTCCACCGGTGCAGCTTGAGGCTATTTCCTCTCTCATCCTGTCGTTGCCTGGGAGAAGAGGCTGACTCCCACCTGGCTACAACCTCCTTTCAGGTAGTTCCAGAGAGCGATAAGGTCTCCCCTGAGCCGCCTCCAGCCTGAACAACCCCAGCTCCCTCTGCTGCTCCTCATAAGACTTACTCTCTAGACCCATCACAAACTTCATTGCCCTTCTCTAGAGATGCTTCAACACCTCAATGTCCTTCCAGAACTGAGGGGCCCAAAGCTGGACACAACATTTGAGGTGCGGCCTCACCAGCGCCAAGTACAGGGGTCTGATTACTGCTGTAGTCGTGCTAGCCACACTACTTCTGATACATGCCATTGGATGCCATTGGCCTTCTTGCCCCCTTGGGCACACTGCTGGCTCATGTTTGACCAGCTCTCAACCAGCACCCCCTGGTCCTTTTCTACTGGTGACTGGAAAAGGAACCCTAAGGTCCTTTTCCCCCTTCCTCCTCATAGTTGTCCACAAAATTGGATTTGTTACCTGGTGTGCAATAGGCCAGAAATTGCACACCCGAGAGACAGAGGGTTGATTATTTCAGAGTTGCGCAAGCCTGGGTACTTGGTGGTATTCCACAAATCAAGCACACCTCTCCATATTTTCTGTGCCTTTATTGATACACAGAAGTTCAGAGTTAGTAACTTTCCAAGCACAGCCCCTCTATTGTGATTAATTAGTAATTTCCATGTAAGTTATGTAATCCCAGCTAGCTTCTATGCATGCTCAGGGGAAGGGTCTTTACCTGGGCAGGAATCTTTTTGACCTGTAGGTATGATTTTTAGTATTATAATATAGGTTCTGTTGTCTTTAACGTCTTCATAAACGACTTGGATGCACAACTGGAAGGAATACTAAGCAAGTTTGCAGATGACACAAAACTGGGAGAAGCTGTTGACTCTCGAAGGCAGGGAGGCCCTGCAGAGAGACCTCGACAAATTAGAGGGCTGGGCAATCACCATCCATGTGAAGTTCAACAAGGGCAAGTGACGGATTCTGCACCTGGGATGGGGCAAGCCTGGATGTACGTACAGAGTGGGGAATGAGATGCTGGAAAGCAGTGCCGCGGAAAGGGACCTGGAGGTCCTGCTCAATGGCAAGTTGAATATGAGTCAGCAGTGCCCTGGCAGCCAGGAGGGCCAACTGTGTCCTGGGGTCATCAGGCAAAGCATCACCAGCTGGCTGAGGGAGGGGATTGTCCCACTCTGCTCTGCACTGGGGCAGCCTCACCTTGAATATTGTGTGCAGTTTTGGGCACTGCAACATAAGAAAGATATTAAGCTGTTAGAGAGCGTCCAAAGGAGGGCAACAGAGGTGGTGAAGGGCCTCAAGGGGAAGCTGTATGAAGAATGGCTGAGGGCACTTGGTCTGTTCCTGGAGAAGACTGAGGGGAGGCCTCACTGCAGTCACAACTTCCTCATGAGGGGAAGAGAAGGGGCAGGCACTGATCTCTGGTCTGCGGTGACCAGTGACGGGGCCTAAGGGAATGGCCTGAAGCTGTGGTAGTGGAGGTTTAGTTTAGGTTGGGTATTAGAAAAAAGGTTCTTCACCCAGAGGGTGGTTGGGCACTGAAACAGGCTCCCCAGGAAAGTGGCCACAGCACCAAGCCTGACAGAGCTCAAGAAGCGTTTGGATGATACTCTCGGTGTGACTTGGTGTGACTGTTGGGGATGGTCCTGTGCAGGGCCGAGAGTTGGACTCGATGATCCTTGTGGGTCCTTTCTAACTCAGCATATTCTGCGATTCTCTGATAGTTCACCTATAGGATATATGAACCTGAGTATTTTGCCAAGTTAACAATGTATATATAGATATACATTGACATCTTGATTTACTATATCCTTTAAGCTTGTTAGTTCCCGGTTGTCCTTGACGAAGGGATGCTAGCTACTGCCTGTTCCACTGATTAGATCTCCTTACTGGCTGATTAGGCTTGCATCAAAGACCATCCTGACTTAAAATGATCTTGACATATTCCACATTTTGCAGCATCGATGTGTGACAGGAAGGTAGTGACAAGGACATGGGTTGTTGTAGTGTTTTGGAGGAAGCATTAAATGAGGACTGCTGGCTACAAAAGGTTCATCTAATTGCTCTTGCAGCTCTATAGGTTGCCTTTAATTTGCAAAAGATTACCCCAGAATTTAATTCAAAACTGTTTGGAAAACTGTGTAAAATGTAGTAGGCACACTGTGAAAATATCACAAGCTTCAGTTTGCCAAGATGGTGCATGCTAAATCAGTGCAACAGAGGAATAAATTTTGATTTCTAAAGAGCTGTCCCTGGAGAGCTGTATTGATTTTTCTCTCTGAATTAAAAGTCTGTGTTTGCTTAAGTTTTCAGTTTTTAACACCTACACGTCATCATGAAGTGAACTACAAGATAGATTGCATTTGAGGAAGGAGTGTTTCTCCTTAAGTGACTTAAATGCCTTATTTTGTGGAAATTGTTGTGTAGTAGCTTAAATTAGACTACCTCTGTGGAGCAAAAACTAAGTGATTAAGGAAACCAAGCCAGAAAAATATAGCCCAATGCACTTTTGGTCTTTATCCATTGTTAGAGTGGAAGTACTTTTCCTTCACTTTCCTGGTTAGCCCACACAGTGTTATGTTGTGCGTTGGCAATAGTAATTCGCTGACAGAGAGGAAGCCAACAGTGATAAGTGGGATGGAGCTGACAGACTCCATATTGTTTTATATTTGCATGTAGGGGAAAAAAAGGGCAGAAAGTTTGTACCCTCTCTAGTGTGGGTGTCTTGGAGCAATAGGTTTGTTAAGAAACCATTTCAGAAGGTTTAGAAACAGCACTGTGATACTGATATTTGTTTCTGGGCATTAGTTGTATCAGTGTGGTTTTCAGGTAATATAGGCTCAAATATATGAAGGACATAATTTGTCACATTGGGGTTTTCATTAAGTGAGGTAGGCCTGTCTTGTAGACCTCTGATTCTGTGATACTACAGAAGTTCTTGACTTCATGGTTCATACAGACCCTAGAATGGAAGGGTAAATGGAATACCCTGGAAACATAGGTTTGAGTTTGCGCTTCAGCCAGGATTGTCCGTGCTGCCAGCTTTTTGTTCACACTCTTCAATGAACCAGTTTACTTTTAATGAAGCTGGCTGGTGCCGCAGCCCGAGTGGGAAAGGACTGACAGCACTCAGGGGGTTCGCAGTCTGCAGCAGGTTTATTGATGGTACAGGAGGCGTGAGGGCGCTTCCTGGCGCTGAGCCGCGAGGGTGCTGCCCAGAACAAAGGGCGAACAGGACTTATATAGGGTTAAGGAAGGAAGGGTCTAGAAACTGGGAGGAGTATGTGATTGACATAAGGGGAGAACCAATAAGGGAGTAACAGAGGGAATACATTAACTTTTAACCTATAGGATGATCTGGGGGGTGTGGTGAGACCGCCTTACTGCGGCAAAATCTCACCAATCATAACTGGGGATTCAACAGCCAATCAGGGGAAAGGGTTCATGAGGGAAAACTTATAAGGGAATAAAATATGAATTTACAACTGGGGTACAATGGTTTTAACATGCATTAACATTACTAATGGGGGTGAAACAACATTGTCCATGTCAAGCAGGTTCAAAGGTCTGTTCACAGATGTCCATTCCAGTGTGTAAGTCCATAGTTTTAAACTTCATCTTCATTATGTTCTTTGTAGATCTGTCTCCACTTGTGGTATAGTCTCTGTTTCTGTTTGGTGCCTTCCACAGGCTGGGACTTGGTCCAGGCTTGAGATCTGACCCTCAGAGACAGCAGGAATTCAACAAGGCCTGCTCTATGTTATGTGCTCTTAATACCAGAGAAGGAATTCAACAGACAATTCAGGATTGTCTGTACTCTTGCAGAAGCAGCAGGGCAAATAGCACAGGTGAGAATGCCCTGTCCTCCTCCACAAGCATCTGAGTTACCAAGTGAAGTGACTAAGGACCAGTCCATGTTGACCTGCTCATGTATCAGTCAAGAGTGGGAGCTGGAGAGGGTTAGGAGAATGGTAGGGGCATTCATCCACTCAGAGGGATCCCCAGAAGTCATATACTGGTGTTGCTGGGCTAATAACAGCCAAAGATCAGAGGTAAAACTCCACACTTCAGAGCCTTGTGTCTGCTCCTGATCACCCCACGTGCATAAGATTATATGGTCTCACCTGTGAGACCCAGGCTCCTACAAAAGCATTGTTCTAGGGAATGTTGGAGACTCAGCACAGCTACAGAGCTGAGTACATTATATGGTCCTAGAGTGGCTCAAGGACTGATAAAAGCAACTTTTTCTTGCCCAGTTTTAGAGCTGTTCCACCTCTTTGCCCACTGACCATATGTGTAAACATAAACAGAGCTAACAGCTAGAGAAAAGTCAGAGGACAGTCCTGAACACATCTGGAACAGCTCACAACAGTTTTGTTGTAGCAAACAATTTCTATGATCAGTTTTATGTTTTAATTTTCGCTTTTAAAATTTTCGCTGATGCTC